GACAATATGCGTTTTTGCTGGCTGTAGCAGCGCTGTAGCGCTGCACAGCAAAAACGCATAAAAAACCAGCCACTCGGTTTTAGCCAACGGGTGTTTTGTACGTTAGCAGGCAGTTTGAAATTGACTCAACATAGAACTTACGAAATCAAATAAGTTTCTTTTTTCTTTATTCCCTTGAATGAAATCGCCGGCACTGTTTGTGTGCAATTTTGAAGAAGGAACGCCGAGTCCTCCAGAATGCAAAGTGCGCGCAACAGCAAGCAAACATCTGCGTACAAGTACTACTATTTTGTATATGTATCAGTGCCTCCATTTATGTGCTCTGTTTGTGGACAGGATTGTGTGTGGGATTTTCTGTACAAGATAGCGGACGGATATAGGGAACTCTGTGTGAGATATTAATAAACTGTGTACTACGCATAGAAGCAACTGTGTAGGATGCCTCAAAATTCTGTGTGGTATATGTAATATTCCTGTATGGGATACGTATAGAATGCCCGTAAATAACGCATAGAATACCTCCAAGATGGCCTAATTTGCTGTACAGGATAATTGAGCTTTATACCGAAATGGTGTACAGTACGGTTTGTTTATGTGGATTGGTATGCTGCGGGTCATGTACATTATACGAACTGGTTTAACCAGCCGGCTAGTTCCATGCCGCGTGTAATTTACCGCTTGTATTCCGCTTCGCCGACAAAATATTTTTTGTCACGTCACGCAAAAAAGAACACATTTGTTAAAAAACACTTGTTAAAAAATGATGAAAACGGATGTGCTGGTTTCTTATGTGAGAGAACTTCGTTTTCTTTAGTTGTACAAATATTGTGGCCCACTCACGTCCAACTAAAGCGCCAACGGCAAGCCACTGTTGTTACAGATATCGCATTGCCAAGTTTCCACTGCTGATACTAAATTCCTTTTAAATGCAGTATCAGCATCGGCTGTTGTTTCTTGTTGTGAAGGCTTTATTTAGAAACTTAAACAAAAAAGTGCTAATGAACGTTACTTTCTCAATTTGATGTTTTCAATAAAATTCCTTCCTTCAGACGAAACTTATCTGTATAGCTGAGCTTTTAGATCCGACAAGGGGAAGTCTGATTACGTACTTCACATCTGGAAACACTTTATCATGTTTGAAAACATTTTGTGCTTCAGGAATACTGCCTGTGCACAGAAACGCTAAGACAGAAGTGTTTGTTTGAACAAGATGGAAAAAGTTGCTGTAAAATTTACTGTTTGCTAGGGTTTTGATCCAGCGATTGTAATTTACATTTCGGAATCAGTCCCAGGTTATTTAATAGCTGCACTGCGCATTATTGCATGGATATGGTACTCGATTAGTGCTTATATTACGACAACAAAATACCCGTATAAACGGCACTTTTATTGTATGCTTGTGTTTCTAATGACTTTTTGGTGAGTTACATCAGTTTAACAATCTTGTTAGCAAGCATTTATTCTCGACTGAGAGTGTGATAAGGAAAAAGCTGGTAATATGACCAAGAAAATACAATAAAAGAAGTGAACCCTCATTTCAAATATGCTTAGAATTTTATTGCAGGTTCTGGATGGGACCAATAAGTATTATGTTGGCCAATTTCTTTTTGGACAACTGGGTTAGAGAAGAAGTTGTTAATTTGGTTGACTGTTCTGTTACTGCATATGGTTTTACTGTTTTTATGGTAAGTCTCAGCGCTAACTGCCGGAACACTGAAATGTCTCAGCATTCCCTTTTTATTAAATAACTTTTGCCAAATTCCTTCCTTCGTTTTTTCGATTCTATAAGTCAGTTGTAAAATGGCTACAGGCACTTTATGTGCATTTGAAGGAATTTAACATTCAGTGTAAATTAATTTCTAAAAAACTGGAATTCATGGAGATTTACAGATTCTTACATGGCCATCATCGGCAAATGTTAACTTCCCCTATCATGTGCGTACTTCGCAAGTCGGCGATTCCAGTTGTCCGGCTGATGAAGCCAATTATCCCCAGAATGCTTACGAGGTCTCAGTTTCAAAATTATTTTAAAATGAAATCTGTGAAAATAAGTGGTAGCGTCAGTTAAATGTGTTCGTCAAACTAGCGATAGTTTCGGAATTTCAGCCCTAAAAAATATTCAGTAGCAATCCCGGAATAATTATGGTTCAACCGCTCCATGAATTAGTAGGCTCCAGCGTGTGCGAAGAAAGCATCAATGAAATATATACTTAGCGCTTGTGTACATCCTGGCACATTTCTGTCCGTAGTGAAAGACTAACTAGGCTAAATTATATGCATCAGTAAATGTTTGATCATAAAGTTATGAGGTCTATTTCTTGATGTGATTTGGTGGAGTCTGCGAGGCAAACTGTTACAAGTGGTTTTTTATATGTGTTAACGTTGAACATATCCGACTGAATGAAAAAGGATCGGATTGGCGCATTTAGACGCAGTTAGCAGTTGGACATGCTGTGCATGTGACGTAACATTCCCGGAAATGTGTGACTCCGTAGGAAGGGAGTCGCAGCTGCAAGTGAGGCTATGGTATTTAGCAGAGGTGTGTCGAACAGCCGTATGTGCCGAGTAGACGTGAAGCCAAAGTCGAATCTTGACTGATGGAATTATCTTCTGATGTAGTTAAAGAGGAAGCGTGTCTAGGCTGTTGTTTCCACCAAATCGAAGGATGGGAGCAGCAGCTGCATCCTCATACACCAGGAATGTTTATCCATTAAAAAAAGGTCTCGAGGTGAAAATAACGCAAAAAAAGGGATTAAACGGGAAAAGGATCTGCAAAATGCTACGACAAAAAGTAATGAATAATGCTTTATTATAAGCGCAGCTGAATTCCAAAATAATCGCATTTACATCCATGGTTGATGTATGCATGTATGTGTATTTGGTCCTTTCGGTTCCAGAAGTACGAAAGCTACCAAGATCGAGACTTGCAACCTAACTCATCAACCACACACGATTTTGCACGTCTGAAGCTAGCTTCAATGTAGCACGAAGCCTATACCACCAGCCTCGGGCCCAAAATAAAAATGACATTGTGAGGAAAACATGGAAAGCTATAAATCGAAGTTTTTGAAGAAAACACTCGAAACAAGCCCACTGTCGTCAATGTACTGGTGCAGTATCAAATCCAAGTCCAAACAGATCCATCCAATTTGCATCCAACACGACAATTTGAAAAAGCGCTTGGACCATTCTCGTCCCCTACCATAAGTTAATACCTATTACTTGCGCATAAATAGTCGTAAGAGGAGCTAGTGTACATGTGGATATTGTGGATAAATTAAGAGATCACTACCAAGCAACTGATCATCCTTTTGTCGCAGTCAGATTATCAGTAACGGATTGTTTGTGATCATTTCAGTAATTTCTCACTGTTTCCTTCAAAATACGATGAATTTTTGAAGTTGGCTCAGTCTTCCGAGCAAATAAATGACAGAAAACTATGCCTCCTTTTTCGTTTCGCGCAAAAACAAAAAGATTACGTGTTTCGGAAGGTCCGACAGTGTGTTGAATGGGTAACGGTTTAAGCCGAGCAAAAGCATCATTTGCCCATCGCAACTGTACAGTTTTTCAAATCTCCAGAATCATTTGGATTATCAATGAAAAGCTCTCTTGTTGCTGAAGGGCAGCCATATGCAGTACATAGCTATGCCAGACCCAGCTGTTCTGGACTGGATTCCCCTAACTGTACTCGGAACCTCCAATCCTTTTAAGGTATGCTTGAGCAAAAAGCAGCAAAGTGTTATTGGAAAATAGTGAGTAATAATTGACTGTGAAACTTCTCAGTAGTAAACATATGGTAAACCAATTAGTGCAGACAGTAATGGTTTTAATATGTCGAGAGAAAGAATCTGAAAATTTTTTTCAGATCAGTAAGTTAATGACCTGTGTATTTGTTCACAAAATCTTCGTTATCTCGAAAGAAAGAAATATTTCAGGTGCGGTTTTCATCACAAACTGGCCTGGGATTCGAGAGGCGCAATATGGATGTACTGTCAAACCAGAATACTTAAAAATTCCTCTTATCAGCTTCGATCAGATGAACCTTGCATCATTTAATTGGTAGCAAATTTATTTTTTAATCAGAAAAGCTCCTTAAAATTTATGATTTAGTTCAGTGTAGAAACTGAGCACCTAAATGGGGCACTGGTACATGTACGGCATAGCTGCAGTATATGTATGCAGATGTTTACATGGGGCTGAATTTGAAATCTTTTAGTTGTACCTGAGTAGGGAACATTTCTTTAAAACATCAGTTTTCTAGCTTTTCTCATTCTCCTGTTAGCGATTTTTTTGCGAAAACTTTCACATGTCCGTGCATGAGACCTTGACGAACGTGGTAGTTGATATCACGTTCCTGAATCGCACTTGGCGAGCGATGCGCAAAAAAGAATTTTATTGATATGAAGTGAGATAAGCACGAACATTTGAATTTAAAAATTCATCGAAATTCATTTGACATGCAAAAACCATATACAGGTCTAGATCATGAGAGTATACAGAGGGTTATATGCCCCCCTTCTCCCGTCCTTTGCCTTCCCTCTCCCCAAGAGGATTGATCGTTAGCTCGTATGTTCACTTACAATGATAATTCTATAACTCAAAATGTTAGCATTTCGATTTTTTTTTCTTTCAACGCAACCCTTTTCTACCCTAGAAATCCATTCTGGATTCACCTATGGTGAAAAAACATGAAAATACGCTTCAACGAAGATTACTCACAAAAATTTAAATTTCAAAAATTCATCAAAATTCACTTGACATGCAAAAAGCATATGCGGACGCAGATCGTGAGAGAAGACGAAGGGATCTCCTGTTGTGGCGCCGAGATGAAATTTTTAATTTAACAGGAAAGCGAGAGGTGAGTTATCTGCTCCGCCCAACTGAATATACGAAAGATGTACTAAAAGCCATCGATTACGGCTTCTTCCCCAGCAACGAAAAATTCCGCTAAAGTTATGCAGTCACAAACCCGGCCCCTTTCCGCCTAAGTCAGCAGCAATTAGCATTAATAAGATAACGCTGACTTAAGGGGTCAAAGAGACCTAACAATGATCAGCACAAGGTCAAAGTACCGATCTGACAACACCAAAAATAAACAATAAAATCAATGCAAGGTACGCTGTTCTGCACATAACAGAAGTTATAATTTATATCTGTTCGCGAGTGATTTGTGCAACATGTCAACAATATAACTCTATTATCGCTTCCGTACACGAAAACATCAGATTATAGGTAATATGCCTTAACCTGTATCTGGTAGCGAGTCGCATTTACACATTACCTGTACAAGACGCTGCTCGTTACTTGTATAGATCGCCCATCGTCTCGCGCTGTAGCGCTTCCGCTCCGCCCTTCAGCTGTTGCTAGGGCCAGCTTTGGTCCACTCAGTTGGCTGCACTTCTTACCCGCCCTTCCCTCGGCTGTCCCCATCCCCTCCCCGTTACACTAGTGCAGCTAGCTCGTAGCCTCTCATCCTTCCCAGCTGCATCCATACTTTTTCCCCGCAATTTTGTCCCCAATTTCTCCGCCGTCCCCCTTTCCCAGCCTCTATATTGTATAGTAATACAGTAGTTAGTAAATGTTTTAATAGAAAGTTATAAAATCTCCATGAAACATATCGCTTCAGAAAAAAAACCAAAGCAGTGTCATTTTTCAAATCATTTTTCAAACAGACAAGTATGCATTTAGGCAATACATAAAACAAATCACTTAAAAAACACATCAATATCATTTTTATGCGTTTTTTGCAGCTATGCAATGCAAAAAACGCATATTGACGAGAGGTTGTCTGT